TAAACTAGATGCTGATCTTGCGTTAACAGAATTTGTCTTAAAACAGATAACAGATAATTTATAACTGAATTTTATTTTTAATTTATTTTACATCATTTAATTATTAAAAATATTTAATATATTGTATATACTTGTAAATTTAAATAAAGTAAATGTACATTTAATGATTAATGTGAATATATTTATTTATTACTTTATAATTAAAAATTAATAAAATTAGTTTACCAGTTAGTTTTTTTTTTGAAATAAATTACACAAGATTTTGAATTGTTATATAGCAGAAAAAATTCCAAGCATAGTAGTGATTGATAGATCCAGCTATGTCTTTTTTAGTATATCATAAACTAATTATTATTGTTTCTAATTTTGGTATCTATGTGCTAATGATCTTGTGAAAAGCATATCTAATTACACAAGATTTGAATTGTTGTATATCGGGAAAAATTCTAAGCGTAGTAGTAGTGATTAATAGATTCACGCTATACCTTTTTTAGTATATCATAAACTAATTATCGTTGTTTCTAATTTGGTATCTATGTGCTAATGATCTTGCAAAGGGCATATCTGGTATTGATGAAAAATATTCACTTGATCCAAACTTTTATCTGAATGTGATGCTAAAATCGTTTGAGAATGGGTTGTTTAAAAAGGGAGTTTTCTCAATGATATCAAGAGATCTGTATTGAGATGCAATTTTGTAGTTGAAAATAAAAAGGTTTTCTGAAGAGATAAATGAGGAAATTTTTTAAGATATGTCTTTTTGGGGATATGTTTTCTTTTTGTAATTATAATTCAAAGTTCTATCGCCAGTATATAAAAGGAAATTCATAGTTAATGATTATAAGAATTCGTAAATGTATTTAAACTCAACTTTTTTATCTTTAATAAAAATTTTCAGAATCTGATTCTATAATATAAACAAAAGTTAGTAAAAATTCAAGACAGAAATTTTTACATAATTCCATTTAAAGTTACACTTATCTGGATCTTTCTTGTGAATCCAGTTCACAATCTGCATAACTTATTATCCTGATCTCATTTTCTTTATATATTTATTTCTTGCAGATAACAATCTATTCCGTAGTAAAAACGGCTAGAATAATTTTTTTTAATAAAATCAAACAAAATATATAATAAAATACTTTCAAATAAAATGGATATTAATTTTCCACAAGATGAATTACAAGAACATCTTGTAGACGTCCAGATATCATCGGATGATGAAGACAATGACGATGACCCTGTGTTTGACTTTGAACAAGATTTATATAAGCAGGCCTTAGTTTTAACAGAATTTGAAAATGATCTGTGAAAAGAATTTAACACAAAAGACATACCAGTTTTACAAGAACTAAATAATGAGAAAACAGAGGATGAATTTACTGAAGAGATTCTTCTGACTATGGCAAAACCAATTACATCATGCATTATAATAGATAATGATCATAAAGAGATACGTCGTTGCAATTTAGCCAGTAATAAAAGAATATAAGAACTAATTGGTGTATGGGAAATTGATATGGATGCTGTTAATAAGGTTGATGGTCAGCTTAATCTTCTTGGAGTATGCAGGTGATATTTTAATTATGATCAAAATACTGTGCATAGTGAAAGTTTAAAAGGTGAATACTCAACTGACAGAAGTCAAATCAATTGCTATATTTGTTTTTTTGCAACAAAAAAAAGATGGTTTTTAGTTGTAGACTGAGCTGTATAGAATATACATGAATTGTATATAATCAGACATTACAAGTATCTTGCTATGGAATAGTTCTTTGTTCAGCTATTAAAAGCAGCTCACATACTACAAATATACACAATTCACAGAGAGTTCGCTACATGTGTTGTCAATGTTATGAAAGAAATGGTGGTCACTTGTATAAACGAATAGGTTCAGGAAATAAAATAGATTTAGGGTATATCAAAATGTATTCGGATGATACTACATCTGCTCTTTACAATTTTATAAAATTAATTGAAATGGTAGCGCAGTAAGAAAATGAAGAAGTAAAAGAAAACTTACTTCGAGTTTTCTTTTCATCTTTAGAAAATTTTGATTTTGATTCATCAATTGAATCAAATAAATTTCCTAGCTTATTTGTAGTCAATACGGCTTTCAAAATTAAAAAAATTAATTTTTCTAAATAACAATTTACATTAAATCCTAAAAAATATAAAGAATCTAGAAAATTACTTGCACTTGAACTTATAAAATCACGAACCAGTTTAGCTTCTTATAAATCGACATTGGAAAGTCCTAAATCTTTGCAACAGTATTACAAAGTAATGCCGAAATGTTTAACAAGTTTTTTTAACAGATTGGTTTCTATTTTGCAACTTAAAAAATATGAAATCATTAAACAAAAAAACAAAAAGAACGTAAAGGCAAAATAACTGAATTTGACAAAAGTGATGTAGTTAAAATACAGCCTTTTTATCTTCTATAATTTTAAATCTCACATTTAGAGGTTGGAAATTTTGGCTTCCACAAGTGATTGGATCTTTCTGTAAATGACTAAAGCTTATATCATATTTGCGTAGTATTCTTCATACAGCAAATATAGTAGCATATTCAAAAGATTATGTGGTAAAAGTTAGAAAACAATATATATTAAAAGCGAATACACAAAAAAAACTTAAATCAGAACAAAATACCTAGAACTTAGCAGTAATAGACAATATTGATTTCAAAGAAAAAACATTTAGAGCTGGTAATCTGTATAATAGCACACAGAGTATAGCTTATACCACTTTGCGCATAGTTTTTCAGTTTAAAATATCTGATCATCTTATTACTCTTTCAAGAATTAATGTTTCTGATGTGGATCTGTGTGGAAAAAATCCATTTGTAGAACAGTGGATAGAAAAGCTTAGTCAGATTTTTAATCAATTAATAGCATATTATCTAATAAATTTTACTATAGATGAAATAGATATTGTACTTTAAGAAGCAGTAGAAGAAAAATGCAAAATTTCTCAACCAAACATTGTTATCTTGGAAGCCGGGCCAGCACCAAATAGTAATCTTGCAGTTCATAAAACTTGTGAAATGTATATAGAAGATCTAGGCTTAAATCAAGAAGATACTTTAAATATCGCATGTGACAAAGCTATTTTTCATAGGCTTATAGATTATTCTAATGACAATCTAAAACTAAATTTTATTCTTGGTCAGTGGTATACAAGCAAAGATATGTGTAGTATTCTAATCTTTGCTTTTTCTAAATATAGATTATTTAGACTAATATCCATGCTTGGCATGAAATTTTTAAAAAAACTTCAAGATATCATCGATTATCATACAATGTTTCGTGTTCTTGAACTTATCTGGGTAGCTGTAGCAATAGTTATTCATATATATATAAATAATCATTATATTATACTATCAGAAATTAACAATATAAATAACAATATTTTAAAAGTCTGGTTCTTATATTACCAATAAGCAGGTTGGTTCAAACTTCATAAAGTTAGTATTCGAACAGGTAATTTTAGCGTTCAATATGAATATTTGAAGGCTTTTGTACCACTATTTCCTATTACTAGAAAAAATCGATATGCAGAATCAGTACTCATTTTTTTAATAATAATAGAAACAAACCCAGTATTAAAAGCAAAACTTCAAGCAGTTGGTTCTATAAATCTTATAGCAGATAAGCGTTTTTTTGTATTTGACGAAGCACTTGAATATTTTGGTATAAAATTTGTCAAACAAAATATAACTTGACGTCCAACTAATTCCGATAATTTAAAACTAGTAATTAAGGTAGCCCAAGATGAAAGAGATCGATTAATGGCACTACATGCAGAATACATAAATGATAACATACCAAAAATAGTCAAAAAGAGGCATTGTGAAAACTAGTAAATATACTTTATGAAGCAATTACCTTTGATGAACCTGAAAAACATCCACTGTTTGAACTATCTAATCAGCTTGCACCTGATGGCTATGAGTGTATTTTTACCTGTTATAACAAAGGAGTAGTTAGAATCATAAAAATTGTTAAACAAGATATTTTAAAACAAGAGAAACGTGTTGCAAAGGGATGAGTACAAAAGAATCTAATACTTTATCTTCTTGGAAAAAAAAGCTACCCAAAATAAAAAAAAGCAAAAAATAGAAGAAACAAGTAACTAGCAATGACAACTATATGAGTGCTGCCAAGGGAAAAGAGCATCTCTGTTTTTTAATCAATTATTGAATCAATAATTGATTAAAAAACGGAGATGCCCTTTTCCCTTGGTAGCACTCATAGTAGTATAGTGATTGTACTGGCTAAGAAATTTTCTAGCCGGGTACTATTAAATTACCCAGTTATCTGGGTAATTTATCTATACAATAGAAATGTTTACCCAAGTAGTAGTAGTTCATTCCAAGCTTATTCAATTAACTCTTTTCAAATAGCGTATTTTAATTAACTTTTCGAATGGTATATTTTTATATATCAACTTGGTTTTAATGATCTTGAAACTCCTAATCTAAAGTATTAAATTATTAAAAATTTTTATTAGTAAGCTACCATAATAGAAAAGGTTTATTTATATCGATAAATTTTGCTTTATATTGATTTAAAGAAACATTTTATGGAATCTTATCTTATATATATATATAATATATCTTTGTATACTATTTTTTTCTGAATTTTCAAAGCAGTATTTAATAAATATATATATTTCTTATTACTGAAGCTTGTCACAGCCTTCTCAACTATTTTTTATTTGCTCAATATATGTATTCGAAAATAATCTTGAAATAAAAGTAAAAATGTCTGCCAATCTTAATGTACTAACTATTCGGTAGAAATTGCTTAAAAAAAAAACTAAACAACTATTTTTTTTAATACTAAACGTAGTAAATAAAAAAATGTTTTTAAAAAAAATTGTACTTTACTTAATTAAAATAACTGTATGTATTTTAAAAAATGTTTATACATTTATTAATAGTATAGTAATAATTTTAAAATTTATAGTAAATCAATTTTGATCAACATACCATATGACTGATAATATTAAAAATATTTAATAGCCTGAATTACTGCTAAATATTTTAATTCAACAGTACTATAATTTTTTTTAGCAGGAGTTAAAGTTCTGCTAGTATAGGCTATTATATATTCTTTTCTATTTTTAACTTGAGATAATACTGCTCCAAGTCCTTGATAGAATGTATAATAAAAGATTCATTATAATCAAAATATTGTAATATTGGGGTAGTAATTAAATATTGTTTTAAGTAATTAAATATTTTATTATACTTCTCAGTCTATACAAACTCTATATCTTTTTGTAATAATTTGTTTAAAAGTGCAGTCTTTTTAGTAAAATTTTTTATAAATCGACATTAATAAGATGCCAGTTCTATAAATACTCTTAACTATATAAGGTTTTTTAGTAGAGGTAGTTTTTCAAGTTTTTCAACCTTTTGTAGATCAGGTTTGAGACCATCAATTTCAACTATATGTTCAAGAAATTGTATTTTGTTTGTACAGAAGTGATATTTTTCAGGATTAATTTGTAGATTTGTATTTTTGATTAAGTTAAATATAGCTTTTAAATATTCTATATACTCCTTGAATATTTCTAAATATATGTTTATATCATCAATATAAACTATAGCATACTTTCAAAGAGCAGGTTTTAGTACAATGTCCATTAATCTTTGGAAAGTAGAAGATACATTAGAGAGTTCAAAAAGTATAACATTAAACTCATATAGTTTAAACTTTGTAATAAAAGTGGTCTTTTCTTTATCCTCTTCTTTTACTTCAATTTGCCAGTAATCTAAAGTTAGGTCAAGAGAAGTAAACCATTTTGCTTTGCCAAGATTGTCCAACATTTCATCAATACAAGGTAGAGGATAAGTGTTCTTCTTTGTAATAGAGTTTAATTTTCTATAGTTTATACAAAATTTTAGTTTTCTATTTTTTTTTTTCACAAGCACTACAAGAGAACTTTAAGGACTTTTTGATTTATGAATTATTCCTTCTTTTTCTATTTTGGCAATTTCTTCTTTTATATGATCTTGTTCTATTAAAGATGCTTAGTATGCTCTTTGTTTTATAGAATATTCATTTTCAGTATGTATATTGTGGTAAACTATATTTGTTTGCTTTAATTCAAAGAACTGAGTAGCAAAGATATCAGAATTTTCTTTTAGAAAATTTGATATAATCTTTTGTTATTTATTATTTAAATTTGATTCTATTAATGTAGTTTTATCTTAGTTATATTGATTTGATTAGATAGTAGAGATTTATTTTTAGCTTCAATTTCTAGTTTAACCAATTTGAATAGATTATCAACTTTCTT